GAGGTTTGTTGTTTGTCAGTTAGTTGAGGTCTGTTGTTTGTCAGTTAGTTCAAGTCTATTGTTTTGTCAGTTAGTTCAGGTTTGTTGTTTTGTCAGTTAGTTCAGGTCTGTTGTTTGTCAGTTAGTTGAGGTCTGTTTTTTTTTCAGTCAGTTCATCTCTGTTGTTTGTCAGTTAGTTCAGATCTGTTGTTTTGTCAGTTAGTTCATGTCTGTTGTTTAGTCAGTTAGTTCATGTCTGTTGTTTGTGACTTAGTTCAGGTCTGTAGTTTTGTCAGTTAGTTCATGTCTGTTGTTTTGTCAGTTATTTCAGGTCTGTTGTTTGTTAGTTGGTTGAGGTCTGTTGTTTGTCAGTCAGTTCATATCTGTTGTTTGTCAGTTACTTTAGGGATGTTGTTTGTCAGTTAGTTGAGGTCTGTTGTTTGTCAGTCAGTTTATGTCTGTTGTTTGTCATTTAGTTCAGGTCTTTTGTTTTGTCAGTTAGTTCATGTCTGTTGTTTTATCAGTTAGTTCATGTCTGTTGTTTTATCAGTTAGTTGAGGTCTGTTGTTTGTCAGTCAGTTCATGTCTGTTGTTTGTCCGTTGGTTCAGTTTTTTTGTTTGTCAGTTAGTTCAGGTCTGTTGTTTGTCAGTTAGTTCAGGTCTCTTCTTTTCAATTAGTTCAGGTGTGATTGTAGACTGCAAATTTTGTTAGTTCTATGATATAATTATAAAAAAGTTTAATCTACATTACACTGAAATTGTTCCGTATTGTAACACATGATTTCTTTGAGACACTCGTTTTCTCATAAACGAAACAAGCCCATATGTATTGACAAATTGCTGGTTCGGCCTCTATATAAAACTTCCGATTCCTCCTTCCAACACAAACATTAAACATAAAAACTGTTTGCAATACAAAATTTAAAAACAGAAACCTTTTTTCGGTAAAACGATATGTTGTTCAACCCCTAGGTCTGTCATCCCCTAGGTCGGGTACCCTTTTGATCGGTAACCCACTATGTCGGTCATCCCCTAAATCGGTCATCGCCTAGGTCTGTCATCCCCTAGGTCTATCATCTCCTAGGTCAGTAATCCCCTAGGTCGGGTACCCTCTTGATCGGTCACCCACTTTTTTGGCCATCCCCTAGGTCGGTCATCCCCTAGGTCTGTCATCCCATAGGTCTGTCATCCCCTATGCTCGTCATCCCCTAGGTCTGTCATCCCCTAGGTCTGTCATCACCTAGGTCTGTCATCCCCTAGGTCGTGTACCCTCTTGATCTGTCATCCCCTAGATCTGTCATCCCCTAGGTCGTTCACCCCTTAGGTCTCTTTTCCCCTAGGTCTGTCATCCCCTAGGTCGGGTACACTTTTGATCGGTCAACCACTAGGTTGGTCATCCCCTAGGTCGGTCATCCCCTAGGTCGGGTACACTCTTGATCGGTCAACCACTAGGTTGGTCATCCCTTATGTCGGTCATCCCCTAGGTCTGTCATCCCCTAGGTCTGTCATCCCTAGGTCTTTTATCCCATAGGTCTGTCATTCCCTAGGTCGGGTACCCTATGATCGGTCACCCACTATGTCGGTCATCACCTAGGTCGGTCATCGCCTAGGTCTGTCATCCCCTAGGTCGGTCATCCCCTAGGTCTGTCATCAACAAGGTCTGTCATCCCCTAGGTCGGGTACCATCTTGATCTGTGAGCCACTAGGTCGGTCATCCCCTTAGGTCGGTCATCACCTAGGTTGTCATCCCCTAGGTCGGGTACCCTCTTGATCGTTCACCCACTAGGTCGGTCACCCACTAAGTCGGTCATCCCCTAGGTCGGGTACACTCTTGATCGGTCAACCACTAGGTCGGTCATCCCCTAGGTCGGTCATCCCCTAGGTCTATCATCCTCTAGGACTGTCATCCCTAGGTCTGTCATCCCATTGGTCTGTCATCCCCTAGGTCTATCATCCCCTAGGTCGGGTACCCTCTTGATCGGTCATCCCCTTGGCCTGTCACCCCCAAGGTCTGTCATCCCCTAGGTCGGTTACCCTCTTGATCTGTGAGCCACTAGGTCGGTCATCCCCCTAGGTCGGTCATCCCTTAGGTCTGTCATCCCCTAGGTCGGGTACCCTCTTGAACGGTCACCCACTAGGTTGGTCATCCCCTAGTTCGGTCAACCTCTAGATCTGTCAATCCCTATTCAAGGCACATCAGTATTTATTCATGCCTCTGGACTGTGTGATACATGTGCACCCTTCTCATGCAACGCAATAAACTTTACTCTATCAAAAGTGTAAAATGTTAATTTTCGTTCATTACAGGAATATGGTTGCATTAAACAGTGAATTTATGTTTTGATTGATATTTGAAGGAAAAGAATCAATTTAAAATTTAAAAAACCTTCTAAAATCAAAAGTATTATCAGCGCATATTGAAATTTTGATTACGTGTCATCAACTCTTCGAAAAATTACTTATAATGTATTACATTCTCCCCCCCCCCCCCTTAACAAATTCATCCCATCAATTAATTCAAACAATCAATTAAGTAATGCCATCAATTATATTCTAAAATCAAAAGTATTATCAGCGCATATTGAAATTTTGATTACGTGTCATCAACTCTTCGAAAAATTACTTATAATGTATTACATTCTCCCCCCCCCCCCTTAACAAATTCATGCCATCAATTAATTCAAACAATCAATTAAGTCATGCCATCAATTATGCCATGCCATCAATTATGCCATGCCATCAATTAAGTCATGTCATTAATTAAGGCATGCAATCAATTAAATCATGCCATGAAATAAGTCATGCCATGAATTAAATCATGTAATCAATTAAGTCATGTCATTATTTAGATCATGCCATCATTAATGTCATGCCATCAATCATGTCATGCCATCAATTAACTCAAGCCATCAATCAAGTCATGCCATTAATTAAGTCATGCCATTAATAAAGTCATGCCATTAATTAAGTCATGCCATCAATTGAGTCATGCCATCAATTAAGTTATGCCATCAATGAATTCATGCCTTCAATTAGGTCATTCCATGAATTAAATCATGCCATCAATTAGGTCATGAAATTAATTAAGTCATGTCATTAATTAATTCATGCCATCAATAAAGTCATAATATCAATGAAGTCTTAATAATAATAATAATAATAATAAGACGTCTTATATAGCACGGTACCCCAGCCTAGGGCTGGGCTCACCGCGCTGTACATAAAAATTGTATCAAAAGAGACATAATTATGACATTAAAATAAAATACATTTATGAAAAAAAAAGAACAGCAATGTATATTCACCCACCCCACCACATAACTTTTACAAGACAAACCATGGACGGCAGCCATCAAGATCGTTTATCGGTCAGAGGAGGGGAATCAGTCAGGGTAGTATAATTTAAAAAGATATGTTTTTAGTGCAGTTTTGAAGGCCTGGGCGGTTGGTATATTGCGTATGTTTAGTGGCAAAGAATTCCATTGTTTGGGGGCGCAGAAAAAGAAAGATCGTTCACCATATGTTTTAGTGTGTGTCTTGGGAACGAACAGAATACGCGTGTCTGCAGAGGAGCGAAGCTGTCGAATGGGTGAATAGACAGAAAGAAGTTCGGTTAGATATGAAGGGCAGGAATCCAAGAAAAAGTTGTGACAGAGAACAGACAACTTGTAGTCGATGCGTGCCTGTATAGGTAGCCAATGAAGGGAATGGAGTAGTGGAGTGACGTGATCAATTAAGGCACGGATGGCTCTAAAAATATTGAACTTACTTATAATTATTTTAAGTATCACACCCTTCTTTGACTTTTATTGTTTGATAGTAAAATAAACCACGCTTTATGTTTGATGAAAGAAAGTTATTTTTTTATATTTTAATGAAAATCTTTATTTTTAATACTACATTTATTATGTAAATAAATACAAACACATGGCTAAGTTATACGCAAAAATATATAGGTATATGTTTTACACATCTATTTAACACATAATTTAAATATAATTGGCAGAAAAAACAACAACCTGGAAACAAAGTCAATCCACACTTAGAAGAACCAATGAAAGTGTTAACATATTTTAGAGCCTGTTTACTAAAAGGATTGCACAAATGTCGATCCCAAATGTTTATTTCAAACCTCAATTTCATATATGAAAACGAAAAAAAAATTTCTACTCCACAAGTTAAAGGAATGCTAAATGTTTTAACACCGATATTCTGGCTGATGTCGTACAACAATGGATGACTCTTTATAACACTGATAACAATTGTATCATACTCATGCAAAGTGGCTTCGGATCATTGTAATAAAACTCTGTTATACTTGCTGATAGTTGTTATAACAGAGACATACTGGCTGAGGTCATACACATTAGGATAGTATTTATATAAACGTTTCAATAAAGTAACAAAAAAAAAACGTCTTTGATCATAACGACTCGTGTAAAACTATAAACGGAAATGTGTGTGAAAGCCATTTCTTTGAACGCTGTTGTTGCTGTGTTGAATGGAAGTTAGTTTAAAAAGATGACAACTTCTTCTTTTAAATTTCTGTTAAAATATTTTTGTTTGTAAACGAATAGAAACGACGAGTAAATTGAAAACTGTTTATTAAATATTGATGTTTGTAGTTTTCTTTTTCATTATTTCCCTTTCGAACAGAAATTTTGTTTCGTACATGTTTGTTTAAACAATTCAGTTTCTTTCTAATTTTGGACGCGGCTCAGCTTCATTTGAAGTGAATTACTTGAGGACTAAAGATGTGTTATTTGAAAGCCATTATTGACATTATTGTTTTATTATGTTAAACATATTTTTTTGTACCCTGTAGAAATTAGAAAATTTTTTTAAATTATAATTTTTTTATTTTTTTTTTTTTGTCAAAAACAAAAAAAAGTGAGTCCCTTTATAACATATTTTCAAAAAAAAAAAAAAAAACCCATTTTATTATTTTAAATATTTTTTTTTTTATCCTTTAGAAATTAGAAAATTTTTTTAAATTATAATTTTTTTATTTTTTTTTTTTTGGCGAAAACAAAAAAAAGTGAGTCCCTGTATAACATATTTTCAAAAAAAAAACAAAAAACCCTCGAACGCTTTAATGAGAACTAAAAAAGTGTTGATAAAATTCATGTCAAGCAAAAATAGTTCCTGTAAATCATATAAATGATTCAATTACAAAACAATCATATTACAGTCAAATAAATAGACGACTAAACGCACACACAGAACTAATAGAGCACTGGTGTCAATGAAATTTGCCCCGCAAGTAGCTATCGGAACTCTGCCAGTTGAAGTGGACGTTACCACCACACCAGTGGTAGTTGCAGTGGTCGGATCTGGAGTTGTGATCGGTTCTGTCAAACAGATGAGAACAAGTGTTTAAGTTTCATTCGATTGGCATCTTGCTAAACCGTTTCGCTACTTCTTTTAGAGCTTGATCAAAGATCATCTCTCTCTTTTACTAGTGATACATCTAGTAATTTCGTCATGCAACGTTGAAGCCATACAATGCTAACAGCCATACTATTAAAATGACTATTCAATGTTAAGAGCCATAGAACTTTAAGAGCCATACAATGTTGAGAGCCATAGAACTTTAAGAGCCATACAATGTTAAGAGCCATAGAACTTTAAGAGCCATACAATGTTAAGAGCCATAGAACTTTAAGAGCCATACAATGTTAAGAGCCATAGAACTTTAAGAGCCGTACAATGTTAAGAGCCATAGAACTTTAAGAGCCATACAATGTTAAGAGCCATAGAACTTTAAGTGCCATACAATGTTAAGAGTTATAAAATGTAAAAAGCTATAAAACTTTAAGAACCATTTAACGTTAAGAGCCAGGCAGCGTTAAGAGCCATACAACTTTAACAGCCCTCCGACGTTAAGAGCCTTACAATGCAAAGAGCAATACAAATTTAAGGGCAATAGAATGTTAAGAAACATGCAACTTTAACAACCAATCAAAGTTAAGAGTCATGCAACTTTAAGAGCCACACAATGTTAAAAGCAATGCAATTATTAAGAGCTATTCAACGTAAAAAGCCATACAGTGTGAGGAGCCCTACAATTTTGAGAACCATACAATTTTAACAGCCAAGCACGTTAAGAAACAAACAGGGTTAAGAGCCATTCAACGTTAAGAACCACGCAACTCTAAAAATCATACATCGTTAAGAGCCATACGACTTTAAGAGCCATACAATGTTAAGAGCAATATGACGCTGAGAGTCATACAACGCTAAGAGCCATACAACGTTAGCCATACAGCGTGAAGTGTCGTACAATGTTAAAAGCCATGCAATGTTAAGAGTCATACAACGCTAACGCTAATTCCATCGTTAATAGCCGTAACACTTTGATGGGCAGACAACGCGTAAAGCCATACATTTTTAGAGCCATACAGCGCTAAGAGCCATACAACGTTAAGAGCCATACAACCTGTAAAAGAAATATTTTCCACTTAGCATGAGGAACTTTTATGTGATCCGTTACGTTATCCTGAGTTTTGTCGTCCCATTTGTTTACAATATGGAATCGTTTCATTTTCCAACTCTATTAAGCCTAGCAACATGTGTGTGTTTCATATTTTAGAACAGTTTTATTCACATTGGAATGTTTTGGTGTTTGATTTCATTATTGCAACGTGCTCTCTCAGATTAATAAAACTATCAAATGATAACATAGATAAGTGGTTGATTTGGTTCATAAATCGCAAACATTCATTTCCAAATAAAAATTGCCTATACTGGTAGGAGAACCAAAATTGTCGTGGCTGATTTTACATTAACATTCACCATTTAAACCATTAAACAGAAGTAAAATGGTACAGAAATGAAATACCTCGCTCCATACAAATAAAAGGGTACAGGACACGACAGTCTTCATCTTCAATCCCCGCTACGATGGACGTGGACGAGGGTGCTCTAGCGTAGCTGATCTTTGCACAGTCTTCGTCCATGCAGTTGCTTGGTTCAAGTCCGCCGGTCATCCAAAGATCCGCCAGCTCTGTGGCGACTTCACGGTCATAAACCCACACCCAGGTTCCCTCGTTTTCAAGGTCGTCAGCACCGATCCACATGTCTGCGTCTACAGCGTCGGTACAATCAAGAATTTTCATATGCGTTGTGTTCGAAGTTCAGGATAATAATAATTCGGTGTAATTTAAATCTTAAAAAAAATATTTTCATAAATCCGCACAGATCGAATGGTGCAGGTGGCACATTCGAGCCAGTATGTAGGCAGTTACATGGCTTTGAGGGGGTCTGACTTAATTGTTTTTTTTTTCCCGCATGTTGTCTTGTATAATGCGAATTAAACTATTTTCTCTGCAATGGCAGAATGAGGGGTGGTTTAGGGATGGATATATTTTTGTTAAAAATTTTTTTTTTTTCTTTAAAGTTTTCGGAAATATCTGTGTTTTGCCGTTTGGGTTAGGGCTACAGATCTTCGTCAGAGTTAGCAGAGAGATGCATGCCTACTAACATATGGTGTTGCTTACTGTCCAGAATATGTTTAATCATACAGTTTTGAATAGTCAAATCGATACAACTTTTGGTTACTTAAAATTCTGTGAAAATATTGTCAAATAACGTAGGTCAAGTTGAAATATAGAAGAGTAGATGAAAGAAAATAAATAGGCATAAATGGATTTGAAAAAAAATACTTTCATATAATGGAAATAATAAAGTTAGAATAATGGAATATTGATATCACGAACCTAGACAGCATGGTGTAGGTTTCGCTGTTAAGAACACTCTTACACAATTCATTGATCCCCCGTCATCAGGCACGGAGAGGATCCTCACTCTAAGACTCAGAACAGCTGCGGGCCCAGCAACCATTCTTAGTGTATATGCCCCAACTCTCTGTTCAACTCCGGAAGAGAAGGACCAGTTCTATGGAGCTTTAGACCAGGCAATAGCCAGCATCCACAAAGACGAGGCAATCTACCTCCTGGGAGATTTCAATGCTAGAGTGGGGAGCGACCACGAAGCCTGGCCCACATGCCTTGGACTCTTTGGAAGAGGAAAGATAAATGAAAATGGACAGAGGCTTCTGGAATTGTGCTGCTCACGAGGCTTGTGTGTGACCAACACTTACTTCAAGTGCAAGGATATACATCAAGTATCTTGGAGACACCCTCGATCCCGCCAATGGCACCAGCTGGACCTCATCATCACCAGGCGTGCACAACTAGCTAGCAGCTATCACAGTGCCGAATGTGACACGGATCACTCCCTTGTCGCCAGCAACGTACGAATAATGAGGAAAAACTCGTACCACTCCAAGAAAAAGGGATGTCCACTTATCAATACCTTCTGCATGAAAGACCCTGCGCTAACGCAGCTGTTCACAGACAAGGTGAAGGAAGGTATCTCAAGGATGTCCCCATGCGTCACCATTGAATTGAAATGGACGCATCTCAGAGACACAATCTATACATCCGCAATACAGGCCTTTGGCAAAAAATCTCACAAAAACTCGGAATGGTTTGATGAACATTGGGACGAGATGAAACCTGTCACTAAAGTCAAAAGGAAAGCTCTTACGGCTTACAAGGAAAAGCCCACACCCGACAGGTTGCATGCCTTAAAAACAGCCAAGTCACTTGCCCAAAAGGTTGCACGTAATTGTGCAAATACCTACTGGCTTAACCTCTGTTCCAGCATACAGTCAGCTGCAGATATGGGCGATGCAAAAGCAATGTACGAAAACATCAAAAAGGCAACTGGCCCCATGACGTCCAAAGTTGCTCCTCTAAAGTCCAAAAATGGAGAAATTATCCAAGACCGGGCAGCACAGCTAAAACGGTTGGTTGAGCATTATCTGGCATTGTATTCAACAGTTACCACAGTCTCCAGCACCGCTCTAGACGACATACCAGATATGCCACTCATGGAAGAACTTGATGTCGTGCCCTCACAGGAAGAGCTGAGCAAAGCTATTGATAGTCTAGCGTGTGGAAAAGCGCCTGGGGATGATGGAATACCACCAGAGGCACTAAAGAGTGGTAAGATAGCTTTACTCCAACCATTGCACGAGATTCTGTCCCTCTGCTGGGAACAGGGCTACATCCCCCAAGACCTAAAGGATGCAAATATAGTGACACTATATAAAAACAAAGGTGATAGGAGTGATTGCAATAATTATCGCGGCATTTCACTCCTTAGTATTGTAGGAAAGGCCTTTGCCCGTGTCATACTAACACGTTTACAGAGTCTAGCATCCCGTGTCTATCCAGAATCTCAGTGCGATTTCCGGTCTGGACGGTCTACCATAGACATTGTGTTCTCCGTACGACAGCTCTAGGAAAAATGCAGAGAGCAGCAGATGCCACTGTACATTGCCTTTGTGGACCTTACAAAAGCCTTTGATTACGTCAGTCGCAACGGGCTATTCAAAATACTGGCAAAAATCGGCTGCCCCCCTCACCTACTTGCCATCATCAGAGAGTTCCATGAAAATATGCAGGGTACAGTGCAGTTCGATGGAGCCAAGTCAGAAGCCTTTCCAGTCAGCAGCGGAGTTAAACAAGGTTGTGTACTCGCACCAACACTGTTCGCAATATTCTTCTCTGTACTACTTCGATACGCATTCAAGGATAGCAGTGAGGGAATCTGGTTACACACCAGAGCTGATGGAGGACTTTTCAACACTGCCCGCCTCCAAGCCAAGACCAAAACGACAGATGTCCTAATTCGCGAGCTACTATTTGCGGATGATGCGGCTCTAACAGTACGCACAGAAATTGGTTTGCAACAACTCGTGTCAAGCTTCTCCAATGCCTGCAAAGAATTTGGTCTGCAAATCAGCTTGAAAAAGACAAACATCATGGCCCAAGACACTCGACCTCCACCTAACATAAAAATCGATAATGAAAACTTGGAGGTTGTGGACAGCTTCACCTACTTGGGGTCCAAGGTCTCCAATACACTGTCCATTGAAGAAGAAATTAACAGCAGAATCGGCAAGGCAGCTGCCACAATGGCTAAACTAAATAAACGGGTCTGGCAAAACACCAAGCTAACGGAGAAAACCAAACTGTGCGTCTATCGAGCTTGTGTCATCAGTACACTACTATACGGGAGCGAGACATGGACCACCTATACATCCCAAGAGCGCAAGCTTAATAGCTTCCATATGAGATGCCTGCGTCGCATCCTTGGTATTAAATGGCAAGAAAAAGTGACTAATAGTGAGGTCCTAATGCGTGCGAATACCCAAAGCATGTTCACAATCCTTAGTGAAAGACGCCTGAGATGGCTAGGTCATGTTAAAAGAATGAGTCCCGGCCGCATTCCGAAAGACCTCCTATATGGTGAACTTGCTTCTGGAAAGAGGAAAACAGGTCGCCCACGTCTGCGATTTAAAGATGTCTGTCAAAGGGACATGAAAGCAGCCAAAATACATACAAGTGACTGGGAGTGTAAGGCAAAAGACCGATCTACATGACGCACAGTTGTCAAAGAGGGCGTCATGGTAGCCGAGGAGCGAAGAATGGAAGAGGCTGCAGACAGAAGAGCTAGGAGAAAGGCCAAAACATTTGGAAGCACGGAACTCATGTGTAAAAACTGTGGTAAAGACTGTCACTCAAGGATAGGACTGCACAGCCACTCCAGGAAATGCAACCCAACCCAACGGTCATGCACCATCGTCTCACGAGACGGAAGGATGCCGATTATGATATCACGAACCAACATATCAAATTTTAATGCTTTTGTTGGCATACCTTGGATGAAAGGAAAAGTGCGGATTGAATTAATATTAAATTAATTTTTGGAAGAAAAGTAAATCAGCACAGATATTATTGATGTTAAGTAAGAATGTCATGCCCAAGAAAACCGGACATACACATTAATGGTAGGCTGGTCATTCAACGATGGAAGATACAATTCACGGAAAGCCTTTTTTTGTGTGCTAAGAACGGAAACAGAAACTTTGCGAAACCACTCTACATACATAGGCGCCAGATTGATCAGCATCTTGTTCCTCGGCAATCACGATATAGAAGAGAAGAAGAAGAGATCATGATAGAGAAAATAATGCATATGGAACATGAACTCAGCTACAAAATACCCCACCTTACCTTAAAAGGACAACAAAAGCTAAATTGAAGATAAAATTCTATGCTAATTAACAAAGTGTTTATCTCAAAGCTAACCAGTGCAAGACCTTGGTTCTGAATACATGTCTTGAGATAAGACTCTTCCCCTGCCAGATGAGATTTTGGAGGCAATCAGTTATAAAATTTGAACCATATGGTGCCGTATTAATGAGGAAATTAATTAGATCTGCAGCTAATACTGCTGTCTATCAACCGAAATAGCATGCTTACAATAATAAGGCAATAGGAACAGAAGTGACTCGTATTTCAGGACCAGAGGATGACAACAGAGTACAATAGCAGTGAATCGTATTTCAAGGCCAGAAGATGACAAAACAGTAAAATAACAGTTACTCGTGTTTCAGGGCCAGAAGATGACAACACAAACGATAGCGTTGACTCCTGTTCCAGGGTGAGAGAATGACAACACAGTACAATAACAGTGACTCGTCTACCAAGGCCAGGGGATGAGAAAACAATACAATATCAGTGACTCGTTTTTCAAAGCCAAAGGATTGCAACACAGGTGGCGCCTTGACTCTTTTAATGATAACTCAAAGTAACAACATGCATCTACAGCAGACCCCACAACTTGCGGCATATCAAGAACTTCACAACATTGACGCACCCATGGTAGAAGCACAATGAAGGAGACTTCAACTCTTTACACTCTATGACTTACTCCTTACACTCTATGATTTACTCCTTACACTCTATGACTTACTGGCTCCTCTGTTTTTGGATGCCTCCTGAATCTGCATCTTGTCAACCACCTTTGCCAGAACTCCGCCTTTTGATTGACATGCGCTCTGATGTGGACATATTATATATTGTATTTTAATGTATTTTATGCAACTGACATATCAATTAATTTTGCTAGTAACCAGCAGGCTTCAGACTTTGTGTGTTTTTGTGATTGCTCCTTCCTTTGTGTTTTACATTAATCAAAAAGATGTAAACGAAAGGAAATGAAAAATTAAAGAAAAAAAATTGGAAAACAAGACAACTCTTTTGATTAAGAAGTTTACAGTCTAATAGCTATGCATTAACAACTATCTTTAGTTTAAAAGTCTACAATCTTACAGTTATGCATTAACAGCTATCTTTAGTAAAAAGTCTATAATCTTTTAGTACGCATTAAGAACTCTCTTCATTAAGAAGTCTTGAATCTAATAGCTATGCATTAAAAAAATTCTTTATTAAAAAGGTTCCTATGTAATAGCTATGCATTAACACCCATCTTTAGTAAAATATCTTCAATGTACTAGCTGTACATTTGTCAAGCGTCTATTCATCGAAACTTTTGTTAAAATTGAGATTGTTTACTAAAACAAAAAAGGCAAGTCTTCAAGCTATACCCTCCGTGCAGTGTTTTTAGAAGTGGGGTCGCAGCCGCTGCCAGAATAGTTTACATCATGCAACCCATGGAAATATATTCCATTTGCTTGACCAGAACACGCAGAGGTACGTGTTCATACGATCGACGAGACAGTTCAACATATTTACCTTGGCATCACTATAGGACAGTTGAGTGCTATTAAACAGGAAACATTCGTTGTCATACGAAATGGACTCGCTCCACTTGCACGCTGCCGTGATATCCAAATGAAATTATTGTAGGTTATTAGAATTCAAAAAAAAAAGTTAATTGGTATTACTTGAGATTGTTATATCGTTTGAAATGTACAAAAGGACATGCAATCTTTCTCTCTTAATCTTAATGTATATGTATATTTTTTATACTGATGTATTATTCATATGAAAATATAATTTATTTTGTTTTGAAACACCCATTGCAAAGATGTGATGGATATGTTCCATAATGCAGAACACTTAATGTAACACAGTTTTGTAATTATATCAAACAAAAATTATATTTCAAACGTACGCAGCTATGTTTTTGGTTCATTTATATTTTTCGTGACACTGATAATGAGGTTAAAGAAAAACAAAAACTTGTTTTAAAAAAAAAAAAATTCTGTCTAATTTATTTAATTTTTTAAAATTAACAACACTGTTTAATTAAAACAATGATCGACCTCCATTTTTAAACCTATAAATTACATTTATAAATACACTTGGACTTACCGCTTCTCACTTCTTGAAGACTGGTAAAAATTAATGTAAGATATAAAAGGGATTTCATGTTTTTCATTCCCATTGCGACTCTACGGGAATAAAAAAAAATAATGTTACATCAGCATTACAATTAAAAAACCACAAAACAACCAAAAACCACCAACAATAACTATGTTAACAAAGTTTTACAAAAAACAAGATGGTAAACAGTCTAAGATCTCGACAGTGTAAATGACGTGTATCATTGTTTAAGGAATGTGTAATGGGTTTAAAAAGATGATGAACATTTTATTTTTTAGTATTTGGTTGTTTTTCAACATTAGCACGGTTTTATTTTGTTTATTGTATTTCTTGTTTCGTTTCAACAGTTGAGCGTCTGTCGTATTTGAAATTCCTAATTCATCAAACTCACATTTTCAAACACGTAATAGACACGTACAGCCAAACGCAATATTTTCTCTTTATCTAGAATTCCCGTCTGAAAAGGCTTTTTGTTTATCAATGGCACACCAGATTAGTTCGGCCTTGTAGACTTGACCACATCCCGTATGGCCTTGTCGACTTGACCACATCCCGTATGGCCTTTTCAACTTGACCACATCCCGTATGGCCTTGTCGACTTGACCACATCCCGTATGGCCTTGTCAACTTGACCACATCTCGTATGGCCTTGTTGACTTGACCACATCCCGTATGGCCTTGTCAATTTGACCACATGCCGTATGGCCTTGTCGACTTGACCACATCCTGTACGGCCTTGTCGACTTGACCACATCCTGTATGGCCTTGTCTACTTGAACACCTCCCGTTCATTCGATTTGACCACCTCCTGTACGCCCTTGTCGACTTGACCACATCCTGTACGGCCTTGTCGACTTGACCACATCCTGCACGGCCTTGTCTACTTGAACACCTCCCGTTCATTCGATTTGACCACCTCTTGTACGGTCTTGTCGACTTGAACACATCCTTTACGGCCTTGTCAACTTGACTACCTCCTGTACCGCCTTGTCTACTTGAACACCTCCCATTCATTCGACTTGACCACCCTACAACCCCAAAAGAAACAACTAAACAGCCTAGAACGGTATGCAAAAAGACCGAAAGAATTCCTGGATAGCGACGCAAATCCCAGGCCCCCCAGGAGAGATAGATTTCTGTCCACCCTGTCTGTCTCTATGGTTAGGACAATGGAATTAATTAACTAAGCTCGCGAGATCGAACTACCAAACCGATATCAGTCAATGTTCGGGAACAGGGTGACATCAAGGTTGGCTACTGGTAACTCGGTTCAGTGACATCTATTTCCTGACATTTTTTGGCAGGAGATGTCGAGCCTTTTCTTGCGTCGTTAAAGCACGACAGGCTGACGCAAGGCCATACACGTGGCTGTAAGTGAATGTAACGATGCTAGGCGTCAGCACGCTAAAACCCGTGTTGTCCCAAAGTTAAATGGGTCTGTTGTATGGCAAAGGTCACAAGATGGAACAAAACTAATCCTCCCGGTGGAGGTCATTAGAGGTAAAAAAAAACTAAACTAACCCCGATAGTCTCGTCGTGAGAGCCTTCCAAAAGAACGTAGCTTTTACGTTGACAAACTTGTGTAACACAATTAGAACACCTATAACCTTATCGGTAGGCGAAAATTTATTATTTGGAAGAGGCGACATTAACGCTCAATGTTGTAAGGACTGCATCTTGCCGCTACATAGAAGCGACCAACCTCACGATAAATCGATTTAAGCTAGAGGACGAAAATAGCATGTCTATGCGGTTCCACACGGGATATAGCACAGAGTCCCCCCCCCTTCCCCAGATTTCACGCTTATAGAAATAACGCTCAATGTTGTACGGACTGCATCTTGCCGCTACATAGAAGCGACCAACCTCACGATAAATCTATTTAAGCTAGAGGACGAAAATAGCATGTCTATGCGGTTCCACACGGGATATAGCACAGAGTCCCCCCCCCCTTCCCCAGATTTCACGCTTATAGAAGCGGACTTCGTGCCCAGGCACAGACTGACCTTCCTAAGTCATACCGAAAGAGTTAATCGCCCTCAACTTTTAGGCACAGATCTAGGCATGACCAAGGCACTGTTCGAGAAAAGCAATTAGCGATTTAAAAAGGGACCAACTAGTATACTAGTAGAGGTTTGAAGCATAGGATGAGACCAAGTTGACCCTAGTTAATGTTGGAGCTGGCGACATAAGAGCCACATACGCGAGGTTTCCTGGCGAAATCCTGTGGTTTGCTCGAAAAAAAATTCCAGAACCAAAAAAAAACCGAAAATTTATGCCTTACTGAAATAAGAGTCTCAAAGGGCTAGCGATCAAAAGCTTGGGAAACAGATCATAATGAGGACCCTGGTTACTTGTGCAGCAAACAATAAACTAAACCCAGCTGTCCAAACAATGGTCCAGAAAGCAATAAAGGCTAAATGTGGAGTTACGTTTGAAAAGCTTGACCTCACAGACTGCTGTTATGCAGTAAAATAAAAGTTGTGTCAGGAAATAAACTCAACACATAATAAGAATAACAAAAAAAGTTTATTTGAAAATCATGCGTTATCCCCAAATGATCGAAGCGCTGTACAAAATCATCCATACTAAAAGAGAAATGAAACAATCTATTTGTTACAACGTTGAAATACAAAACGCAACATTGCGAAACGACATACGAGCATACCCATTATTAGTCTTTCGTACCTCGCCACCATAAACAACACAAACCAATATACATGTAGATGATAATAGCTAGATGGGAAAGATGGTAGACAACATCATCCCAGCGATTCATAAAGACGATTCATTTTATTCTTATTCCATGGATAACGGTGCATTTCAACAAATTTTTACTGAGAAAAAAAAATAAATTAAAAATAATAAATCAACTAAAGCAACGAAAAAATCCGAAAAAACGTTGTTTTTTTAAGGCTTGTCGTAAGCTTCAAAGCTTCGTTACAATGATGAAAGTTTATTCGTACATAAGTCTGGGAAAAGATCAGGCGTAGAACCGTTTAAGGTCTGCAGAAATAAAGCTATGATTAAAAACTGAAGAACGATACCGTCGGTTAGACAAGACGGAACCCTGTTTCCAACTACATGACCCCTGGGTAAAAGACGCCAGGCTAAAGGGACTCCCCCCACCCTTTCATCGACGAGGCCAACGCTCTCAAGCAAAGCCTACCCATAATCAAAGTTAGGGACACAATTCGGTTGATCTCAGCAATGGGCCCACACGAAAGCCCCAATCTACCTGCCATACGGCTGACTCGGATAAATATTGAAGTGATTGAGGCCAACCCTCTGGAAGACCAGATGGACCACTCGGCTATTTGGCAGGGCAACAGGGGATACAGCGGGACATTTGGACTAGAAAATGCCGCGGCCAAGCTAGAGCGAACTCTGGTGTAAACTAAAACGCCAGGAAAAATAAAGCGTAATTTACGGTGACGCCAACCTGGTGGTGCAAGTTGTTGTCAAAATGACCCTGGTCATCAGAGTCTAAGGTACTGCTTTACAATGAAAAAATCACAACAGAGATGATGTAAAAAATAATTGCTAAGATGCGATGGATATAATATACGATCTTCCATTTAAAGAAAGAGGGAGAGAGAGAGAGAGAGAGAGAGAGAGAGAGAGAGAGAGAGAGAGAGAGAGAGAGAGAGAGAGAGAGAGAAGATAACAAATGAACTACATATGTATCTCAGACATAAAATGTGTGTAAAATATATGTTTTGTATATAAAGAGAGAGAGAGAGAGAGAGAGAGAGAGAGAGAGAGAGAGAGAGAGAGAGAGAGAGAGAGAGAGAGAGAAGTTAACCAATGAACTTCATATGTATTTCAGACATAAAATGTTTGTAAAATAAATGTTTCGTTTAAATATACCGACTGCTCACCTATTTGTTAAACCTGCAATCTTGGAGCTGTGACTATGTCACTCTTATGAAGTCTCATTTCAGTATACAATACGTTTCAAGAGTTATTACGTGATACTTTTAAGTTCAGCTCAATGCAATCTGGATTGTAAGTTCTTTCTATGTCTGCCACGGTCAGCGTAAGGAGACACGTCTATATTCCATTTTTACTCCCCACCAGTCAAACAGGTTCTATTGTTATTGAAGCGTTGCAGGCTAGTCCACCTGACGAATCATTAATGATATGCATACAACATTGTCTTAGAAATAGCAAACACAAAGGAAATATGTCATAACATTGGCAATCAGGTGACATCGAGGCTACCATTGTGGGAGGGTGGGTGCGTTGAGATATGAGTTTTATTTTTGGAAAGGTTCCGACAGTCCATTGTGTTCGGGGCGTCATGAAGAACACGGTTTGATATACAGATGGGTGCTTTGAGATCTGCGATATGGTGTGTAGGGTAAATCAAAATAACATGGTGGAATGAAGAAGAAAATGCTCCTAATTGATAAATGACACTTAGATTAATGTAGTTATCGAAACCCCCGCCCCCACCCCCTAGGGGGCTCTAGTTAGCATCTCCGCCCCAAAAAGGGAATGTCGGTAAAAAAACGTTGGCCACAATCCCCCTGAAACGGTCCCCGTGGGGACAGGACCACCCCGTAGTGGCAGAGGAGTAGCGAGGGTGTTTGGCACCCGGGGACAAGATTCGCGCCCGTGGACAAGATCCATTTTAAAAGCACCCCCTTTCCTTTTTTTAACTCTCAAACCCATTATTTTTACCAATAATATAATATCAAAGAACATTTTGGCGCCCCTAATTAGCTTGCGCCCGGGGACATCTGTACCCCCTTGCCCTCCCTCGCTACGCCTCTGTGTAGGGGACCTGCTCTTAAAGACAAGGTTTACGCACGGAAACTGTGTTAGAACGAGCACGGCTGCATGGTTCCTAACAAGCACAGTCAAAAATAACGCAGAGACAGGTCGGGACATAATTACAGTTACCGTATGGATATCAGGTGAGGAGTCTGGCGACCCTCTCCGATGACTCTAAACATGCAGACTTTGAGGGTACTGCTCTTAGGCAAACCCTTTCTCTCCCAGGTGTGGCGTGAGTTAGTTGCAACCACAGATCCCCACGTAAACCTTATTAGAGAGCGCCTGTTTAAAAAACCTACGCGCCCCCCCCGGGGTGGAAAGGGGAGGGGCTTAGAGAAGTAAAATATTAGCACGCCAGCCATTAGAAAGTCCGGCCCAGTTGCTGTGCGAGCAGCACCCCGGCCTGGCCAAGTGTTCCCTCTCGGATGCCGCCTCATTCGCTTAGTCAATCGAGGTGAAGAGTGAGTGAGGCTGTGTCAGGGGCGGAATGTCCACGGAATAAAGACCACTGGTGGAGTGGTTGAAGGCTGGTTGGGTTGGCGGGGTAGGGCGCCCGGGAAGACTTTATGAGCTCTGGCTCGATAGTCTGCTGATTTTCTTAAGTTATTTAGTTAGTTATCGAAAAACAAACCTAGAATACATTCAAAATATATATTTATTTTTATTTTTTTTTGTATTTTTCGTTGTTTTAAAACAAGAGGGAAACGTATTAAAAAGCGCTATTTTATTCTTATAAGGGTAAATGACAGTAAATTGTATCTGTATTTAGTGACCACATTGTTAAAGACACTGGTATTTTAGGTAGTCAATCATTCCAAAAGTATTTACCTTATAAAATAATATACTGCCAATTTTCATTAAGTTTTTTTTGAAGTAAAAGTTGTTTTTTTTTTTTTTACACAGCTTCGTCTTCGTGTAATATATTCGTTAAAAACCTCGCTTTCAACAATTTCACTGGTTATAGTCATTTGAAGTTTACGTTTTTTCTCTTTGCTTGCGACGATTTCAATAAATATCGCCAAACGAAGTTAAATTTTGGACTTTGCTTTCCACGGGTTCAACATTATATTTTACATTTAAAAAAATGAAATAAATAAATAATTAAATTAAAAATAAAAAGAAATTAAGATTAACTTTTTTTAATGTTGATAAAAAAATAGATGCAGATGTTTAAATATATAGATATAGATTTTTATTTATACAATACAAAAAAAAAAAGAAAGAAGCTATATTGATTATGTACTAGGATTTTTCTCAGATTGCATTGTCAACATTTTTTTAAAACGATACAGAACAGAGCATAAACAATCAACACGTTTTCAAGCCGATGTTTCTATCAGACTGTTTACCTTTCTACATGTATATAAATATATATATTAAGTTTTTAATGTCTTTAGATTTAAAAGAAAAACCCAGCTAAAGATATAGATTTCATTACGCGCTACGCAATAACTTTACACTAATACTACTTTAACTTTAGGGAACCAAGCACCCGAATGTACTTTCCATTGCTGTTTAGTTGTAATGTCTTACATCCGTAAATCTTTTCACGTTTAGTTGGGCTTGATTTGCGTTGGTTATGTGTTCTATGTTGCTTTGAACAGATTTTGTTAAAAAATCAAACATTGTCTCAAATACAGACATGAAAAATGAGAATGGAAACGTTGGTTACCTCGTCCATCGTCCCATAGTTGCCATTATTACTCATCAATGTTACACACCTTTTTATGCCTTAAACTTCTTTGAAAAAAAAACTTGTAACATAAGCAATAAGACAAAATTTTAAGAAAATTTGTGTGTGTTTTATATCAATCTCAGAAAATGAGAGATAATAAACGATTTCCTCTATTTGCCAAATTTATTATTATTATTATTATCATTTATGTGGTCCTATATAGCAGTGGTAAAAATACTTCATGTTCATGTCAATAACTTATTTCATTTTTATTTCAACTCTTTATATCATAGATGTACATAATGTTCAATATGAAAAAAAACCACATCTTCCTTCTTGACAGAGCCACTAACTGTGTTTAAACATTCTTTTGGTTTTGTGTAAAGTAGCCTTGCATGGTTGCACCCAATATATTTGTAGTTAAAACTACTTGAATACCTCTTCAGTACATGACAGTGATGGCAGTAGACTTTTAAGTGGCATAATTTTAAAAAAAAAAAAAAATTTTTTTTGCTGTTGTAAATATTAATTTTAAATGACCTTATTAAATCAAAGACAAATTAAAGAAAGCTGAACTTAACTTATTTAAATTAAATTAATCATTTAAAATAACAACAGTACATGACAGTGATGGCAGTAGACTTTTAAGTGGCATAATTTTAAAAAAAAAAAAAAATTTTTTTTGCTGTTGTAAATATTCGTTTTAAATGACCTTATTAAATCAAAGACAAATTAAAGAAAGCTGAACTTAACTTATTTAAATTCAATTTATCATTTAGAATAACATTAAACATGTTTTCTAGATTTTGATGAGAGGAAAAAAATGTTTCATTATCAAAGAAAGGAATCTACAGAATAAGTCATGTACTTGATACAAGCAAATTTTAGGCATCTATAGTGAACATATAATTTCATATCCAAATATGCGAATCTTGTTACTAAGGAATGTATCAAGAGACACTGTATAATTTATATGGAAGTGTCGTCTCCTGATGTCACGATTAATTGCACTGGTGATGTTTGGAGTAGTGTGTTTAAGGTCTGAGAGAAGTGGCTCAATAGTGGATTTGATCTTGTGGTAGAGTATAATATTAATAACAAAGTGAAGTTGCTCCTTCAATAGTGGATTTGATCTTGTGTGATTGCAAGGTTCAGGATGGAGGAAAGATGCTTCACGAGTTGTTGCTATCTTGTGAGAGAGTGTAAGGGTGATGACAGAGGGAAAAGAATCCAAGGTGGCTTTGGTATTGTGGTAGAGGGTAAGGTTAAGGACCGAGGGAAGTGGTTCAATAGTGTTGATGTGTAAGAGTATTAAATTAAAGGCAGACAGAACTGGTTCAATAATGGAGATGAACTTGTGTAAGAGTGTAAGATTAGTGGCTGACAGAAATGGTTCAATAGTAGCTGTGATGTTGAGGGAGATTGTAAATTGTGTGGTAGTGGCGTGGTTTTGTCAAGGGTCAAATATTGTATTCTTCGAAATTTAATGTCTAACGTTTGTTTGAGGAGGAGAAAAATAAGAATCATAACTGACTTCTACTCATGTATATTATGTTTTTTCTTGCAGCTATGACCCTTACAAACAATACAATACCTATAAATAACTTACTATTAACAAAACTGTTGTCGTAAAAAAAATAACGCTTTGCTATCCATGTTCCTTTTAAAAATACGTTTTTGAGAGAAATTTCTCTCTAAATATCTTCTTTAGATTGCCCATAATGCCTTTCCTGTGTGAATGCTAGCTTGTCCGTCGAAGTCGATCAAGTCCATTGTAATCATTGGATTTGGGATGGTTCTGATTCGCCTTCGGATGCACACGAATCTGATGAGATCCATACCTGTATCAAATGTTCATGCGCAGTAGGCTCAAGGGATGGATAGGATATCTCCAGTTGCAGAGTTAACCAGCTATTTGAGTCTTGTCTGCTATTGCCTTGCAGCTGTTGTTCTGTCGGCTCTATGTTGTATGCGGCCTTTGTGTACAGAGGAAAGCAACCGCAATGGATCATTTGTAGATTCTTCGTACGTGTGGCACGATTTTTCAATCGAACGATATCAATCATAACTTTCGGGTTTATTCAAAGCGAGGGCTTGTCAAACCGGGTTAATGATCGTACTTCTCATGGCGTTACACCATCCAGACATCCGTATGGACCTCCACAGAGTATGACTGTGACACACTGCACTGGTGACACTCGGCTCTGGTGTCATCACTGACTTAGGGCACCTTGCACTGGTGACAACCGACTCAGGTGTCATCATTTACTTAGGGCACCTTGCACTGGTGACACACGGCTCAGGTGTCATCATTGACTTAGGGCACCTTGCACTGGTGACACACGACTCAGGTGTCATCATTGACTTAGGGCACCTTGAACTGGTGACACACGGCTCACGTGTTATCATTCTTGTTATCAATATTGTATTCTTCGAAATTTAATGTCTAACGTTTGTTTGAGGAGGAGAAAAATAAGAATCATAACTGACTTCTACTCATGTATATTATGTTTTTTCTTGCAGCTATGACCCTTACATACAATACAATACCTATAAATAACTTACTATTAACAAAACTGTTGTCGTAAAAAAAATAACGCTTTGCTATCCATGTTCCTTTTAA